TACATGCTAGGAAAACAAAGAACGACACAAATACTTCTGGAGATCTTGGAAGGTCTCTACAAAGCACAAAAGACTTTGCAGGGAATTCGCATACCGGGCTACGTAGCCACTTTGGCGCAACTACCGCGACGCAGATAGAGGGTGTCGATCTGGTGGACACCCTTGCTACGTCGGGGAAAGTACAAAAGCCTTGTTTCGCAGCCCCAATACAGTGCTCTTCGCAAATGGGAGGTGTTTCGCACCACGGACATTTCTGGTGCTTGCTACCAGCGCAGTGGACACAAAAAAATACTTTTCCTACGCAAAATGTGCCTACCAGGAATACCCGTGCGGGAGTAGAAAAGGTAGCCGAAAATGGTTGCCGAAACAATGGGCAAAAATATACTCTTCTAACAATCTTCGCACTCCATATATAGACTAACATATTTGCGCTGTTGCCCCCAACCACACTTGGAGTGGGTTGTTTCCGTAGGTGGATTTTTGACACGGGTCTTGCCCGTGTTGAGATTGCGCTGGAACCCCCATTCCCTATACTACTTTACTGGAAATATTCTACTCAAATATCCAATGAAATAGAACTCATAGCGGGCAAGAAATACTTCATCGACATCATCCATGTACAATTTGGTCGTGACGAGCATCTTGTTGTCCAGTRGAAAGACTCTGTTAATGCAAACTTTTCTGATATACCACTAGAATATTTATCCCCCTATTTTACAGAAGATTCGGATACTAATCTTGACATTTTTCACTACGATGTTTTGATTCCCGAGGCTGAAAGCTGCAAGAACTTGACAACAGAAAATCCTTTTTTGCTTCGACGTCATCTCACGTACGCAGAACATGATGAATTCAAACAAGTTTTACCAGTTGTTGATTTAGGAAATAAAAGCTATATTAGTCAGCACAGGAACATTAGTGAAAAGTACCAGGTGGTGTATGGGCTTTTCAAAGCAACAAGTGTCTACCCCGATGAAAACAAGATCGCTAAGAGCGGTGGCCATTGGAACACGGAAAAGATGCCACATACAGAAGCCATGGAAATCGTGAACAACTTTATGGCAAAGCTGGATGCCAATTACAAAAGGTATTCTTAAGTTACAATGTTTGCTGGCTATTCGCCATTACCACATTTTCAAATTCCCACATTTCCGCACATTCCCACATTTCCGATGGGAGGGGGTACCCGAAAAACATAAATGCTGTTAGGTAGGTTGGGGTCTGGAAAATTTTTTGCACCAAAAACAAGGCAAAATGGTGACTCCTAAAACAGACCCATGGTTCAGCGCGCGTAATATTGGTTACCAGGTTTCCGCACAGCCTCGGGAAGGCCAATCAGCAACGCAGTTAGATATCGTAAAAAAAATAATAACTTAAGAGTCTCTAAAGAGTTTTATACAAACTTGAAAATCTCTTGGAATGCTTTTAGTCTGCTTCTTAAAACGAGTTAATTTTAGAAATGAATTAATTGCTACTAATTACGCTGGTAAAAAAACTGATCTGCTTTTATCGTCAAAGTGCCAAAGTGAAGTGCGTGCACGAGGGGGTTGGAACTACACGAGAGAAGTGTTAGGACAAGCATGAGTGCTTCTCGACACTTCTCGAGTGTTCTGCCAATCCCCAAGTGCTTTATACTTCACACAGCACAGCAAGCAAGTTTTTTATTTCTTTTTATTATTTATTTATTTTGGTTCATAGTGAATAAGTGTGAAAAGATGGGACTCCGCCATTTTTAAAAAGAGGTAATCCGAGCCTGACTTTCTGCATAATCATAATTTAAAGTTGTAAATTCATAATTTACAATGTGAAACTTTTAAATGCGTATGTCAATTGATAAACTCGAGTCTAGACGTTTGGTTGGTTGTCATTCATCAAGTTTACGAAGGTCTGAGCTGGTAATCATTTTAAGTGATGTATTAAAGGAAAAGCAAGTCTTTGAAAATAAGTCATTCGCCTGTTTATCCGTATTTGGCAGGCACTGGGAACGAAAATGCTTACCTCATTTGGAAATGAAAATGGATTCCACTTTGGTGATTTTCCCGCTCTTTAAAGCTTTTAAAGGTGGAAAAGATGAATCACAACTTGGAGGTATCATAGCGATGCATGAATACTTTGTCCACTTGATTTAGACTTACCTTAGAAACCTCGCTTTTGACAAAGGAAGACCAGCTGAARAAAGACCAAAAAGTTGAAAAACACAGGGACCCCGTGCAAACTATATTATGAGTTTGTCATTCTGTGCATACAATGCGACCTGATGTTTGTTTTCTTTTCAAAAAAATGTGAAATTTGACTAAGCCTCGTGTTTTTAAGCTTGCTTCTCTCGGAATGCTCTACAGCTCCCAGCGTGTTTATATCACTGTACAGAGACATACGTGCGCGTTTTATATTCCTTAAGTATAATACACTCAACAAGCAAGCAAAGTTTTTTTTCTTTTGCCATTTTTTCCCAATCAATATTTCCGTGCCTCTTGAGGATTGTCGGTCTTTTTTGACTGTACCGTACTATAGACCTCAAAACATAAGTGTTTTATAAACTAGTTAGTTTTAAGACGGAATCATTATTTTGTTATTCATTCGTTTCATTTTTATTTATTTTCTGTTAGTAGGTTTGTTTGCATGACAATTAGTTTCCTGACGAAATCGCCGTCTCGACGGAGTAGATTTTGGTGCACGTCAATCAAGGTGTTTCCATGACAATCCATAGGCACGTGCCCTTTATTTATTTATTTTATTTATTCTATTTTGTCAGGAAAACAAATAGAGGTTTTGCACCATCACGCGCCGGCGCCATAATCCAGCTTGGGCTGCCTGTGGTTAGATGGCAGAACAATAAAATCCCTATGCTCTTGGGAATTGAATTCTTTCTCATGTAAAACGATTGTATTGTTCCTGCCATCTAACATGGCTGCCGTCACATGGTGGTGTAAAACCTCTATTGTAAGATTCTAGTGCTATTCAATTTTGTACACAGAGCCCTTCGAGTATGCGCAGTAAGAAATAATGGCGAATCGCGCATGCGCAGTAAGAAATAAGGCTCTTGGTACGAGATTGCGTGCTGTTAATCAGAATGACTGATAGTAAACGTAGCTGCACAATTTTTGTCACTGATAGGGTTGTATTGACCATAGGATTAAGATCAATCTCGTTTGAGTCTTGCTTAAGGTAATAAAATAATAAGAATCTAATGATAATCTAATACTACTATGCTATTAAATAAACCGACAATGATTTCATATAATTTCTCTATTGACACTTCAGCTCCTGTTATCTCACACAACCCCACTGTTTAAATTTTTGGAGACTGACCCCACCCTACCCCGGTGGCGATAATATATGTGTTTCTGCCTATCAGTTATACTAGCCTATAACTATGTTGACTTCATAAGGCTAAACTGTGGCGGTTTAAGAACCCTTCACACTCCCAACCTCGTTTAGTGCCAGGGCCCAATCTCCGGAGAAGGGGAGAGTGGGCCCTGGAAACGAGGCTATCCACTACCCTACTATAGAGGCTTTGCACCATCCATGATGGCAGCCATGACAGGAGGCACAACAATGGAGTCTTTTATATCAATTCTTTATATGTAAATCAGATTAGACCAGATTCAATTGTTCCTGCCTCCTGTCATGGCTGCCATCACGTGATGATGCAAAGCCTCCATTCCCAACTTGTGGACTGTCATTTGTAAACCTATATATATATAAATTAGCCAAATATGTCTTTCAAGTCATTTGAGGAGCCAATTCCAGGTTGTGAGGACGGGGCTTGATATTGGTTTGGAGATCTTGGGTTGTTACCCATCATGCTTTGTGATTGCATTGGTAACATTCCTGCTGACGTCATAGGTGCTGTGGCGTAGGGCAGTCGAGCTCCCATCATTCCTACACAATAAACATATACATATTGTTCGTAAGAATGAGCTTTTATCAGGTATGTTTAAATCAGTAAAGCAGAACAAAAATATGCACCATCTCTCATTTATATGCTTACCCATTCCAGTATTCATCTGGGGTGCCACAGAGCTTTGTTTTTGGGCCTGTAGAACACTCAACGAGGGCTTATTCTTGTTCTGTAGATGACTCATCTCGGGCGAATATAGCGAATCTAATGCACTAGCACTTTTGTTCTGATCAGTCCTACTAGTTGTACTCGAAGGATTCCACATACTATGCCCAGAAGACATTGCGCCGAAGCTTTGTGACGTAGTAGTTCCCATTCCCCCAGCTCCTGCCATAGACCAAGTACCTGAAGGAGCTCCCATACCTCTTGAATTCATTGAACTAGAGCTCATGGACCCCGGGCCCATATTGTTATAGCTCGCCGAGCTCATATTATTATAGGTTCCTGGACCCATATTGCTGTGACTCGTTGAGCCCATAYTGGAATAGTTCCCAGGGCCCATATTACTATGCTTTCCAGAGCCCATATTAGTTCCTGATAATGAGCCCATTCCAGTTAGATTCGACGGCATTGAGCCAAAAGTGCTTGATCCTACTTGTTTGGAACCCGTGCTCCCGGACGTTGACCCGTTATTTTTAGCACCGACCATGGGCGTACCACCAATGGAGCCCCCTAAAGTAGGCGATGATGTCATCATTGAGCGACTTCCGGACATCGACAGACTTGACGAGGACTTTTGAGTTCTAGGGCTCTGATTGGATAAACTGGATGGGCTTGATTTTGCAGGTGACTGTAAGTGGTAAAATATTAATTAAGAGGGGCAGATTACTGTCAACTCCCCCCCCCCCCCTCCCAGTCTTAAATTCTTCTGCTTTACAGGAAGCAGGGGTGTTGTAGCATTGAGAGCACCTCTCACAAATGCGACCCGGGTTCGAGTCTCTATGGGCTCAGTGTCGTATGTGAGTCGAGTTCCTAGTTGGTTCTCTTCTGTGCATTGAGTTTTTTTGGGTGGGGTGGGGTGGGGGGTTCTTTGGTTTTCATTTCTCCGCAAAATCAAATTCTAATTTGTAATTTAATCATGGACCAAGGACCACAGGTTTCTTAGCCACCACTGGCTATTTAAAAGTGTTACACTCCTCAAACAGGGAAAATAATTTTCCCAGCGTACATAAGGACGTGTTTTTATGTATTATGCCTCCCTATTTCCAGTCCCTTTGCAGCCATTATTTGTTTTGGTCCCAGATCCTCACCCCTCCTGGCCCGTGAGGATTTGGGACAAGATTAATGACGGTTGCGGAGAAGACTGACTGTTAGGGACCAGTAGGAGGGGGAAAGGAGAAGGGAGGGGGGTTGGAGGAGAAAATGGGGGAATATGGGGGCCTTGAAAGGTCAAAAGGAGGATTGGGAAGATTTTTAAAATGATTTAAGGGGGGTATCCGAAAAACATGAATGCTATTATGTAGGGGTCTGGAAAAATTTTTGCATCAAAAACATTTTCTCCCCTCCCCCCCCATCCCAACTTAAATAATGACTGGGAATTAGGGGAATATCTACTTACTTGAGTTTTAGGGGATGAAAAAGAGTCCAGATCGAACATATCAAGCAGGTCTCCGCTTAATGATCCATTTTTACTAGAATCATCCGAGAATCCAAACAGTTTATTGAACTGCAAACAAATATAGAAATAAATGAATAGATGTAGAAGGAAGGAATAATGGAGGGATGGGTGGATTGATGGATGGGAAGGAGAGAAGGAAGGAAGGAAGCAAGCAAGGAAG